AGACAGACAGAGAGAAGAGCTGGTGGGCACCTGAGGCAAAACCCAGATTTGCTGTCTCCCTTTATCCTGTCCTCTGGCTGAGCAACCTGCTTCTCCCCACTCACTTCCTGAGTGCCAGCCCCCACCCCCATCCTCTCTTTTAAGTCATGAGAAAAGCTAAGCCACTCCATGGCTGAGGTCAAGGAGAGGTGGACTGCATGGGTGGACAGAGACAGCTTAGGCCTGGTCCCTCGGCTTCTCAGAGGCAGAAGGCAGCCCACACCGGGCTCAGGCTGGCTTCCAAGAAGGTGGGCCCTGGAACACTCAGGAGGAATTTGGAGACTGCTCTGTGTAGCACAGGCAAAAATACGGCCCCACTCCCACCCTCAGGGAGTTGGGACCCAGGCGTGGGGCTTCAGAACTCAGGCCAAGGAGCTAATGGGGCTTCTGGAGGCTTGAACTGTGGTGTCAGCCAGAGCGCTGAGCTGGCAGGCTCCAGACCAAACTGGAGAGGCAGAGCAGCCACAAGGAAAAGCTGGGGGGTGGGGGCAGACTCGCAGACCCTCACCTCCTCCCCAGCCAGGGCCTAAGGCCCAGGCTTCTGGTTACATGGAACTCAGCACACTCCCTCCCAGGTGTGACACCTGAGATGCTTCCCTTCAGATTCATGTGCCACAGTCCTTACCGAGGAAGAATGTGACTTATCCCCTTGAAACATGATGATTTTGGAGATAGGGTCCTTAGAAGGGTGATTAAGGTGAAACAAGGTCACTGGGTAAGATCTACTCTAATAGGACAGAGAGAGACACAGAGGAGAGATCAAGGGGAGGAGAGAGCACCTACAAGCCAAGGAGGGTGGCCTCAGGAGACACCAATCTTGCTGACACGTTGATCTCAGACTTCCGCCCTCCTGAGCTGTGAGAAAGCAACTTCTCTTATTCAAACCCCCAGCTGTGGCACATCGTTATAGCCACCACAGCGGACAAGACACCAAGCTATTGTCCCCAACATCCCCAACATGGCAGGCGCTCCCTGCTAGCTGGCCACCATCCCACAGTCTGGAACTTTGTCAAGTCATCAGTGGTCCTTGATACTGAGTTTCCATCTCACTCTTCCCCCATAACCCCTCCTTCCAACCTAAGTGCCAAGGAGCCAAGGCATCTATGAGCATCCGTTGTCGCCAAAGCCTTGGTTCACTACGCAGACACAACTGTCCCGTTCCCCTCTTGTCCGTGGCTTGGTTTCCTGGACCTGCCCCATAGTGACATGGGCAGCTCTGCATGGTAGTGAGTTCCCTGCCATCGTAAGGCTGAGATGAGTTGGACAACAGCCCAGAGGAGTGATCTGAACTAGGGGTGGGAGAGCCGACAAGTGGCTCCCAGGAAGGTGGAAAGGGACTCGAGTCAGACACACCTAAATTCAACCATCAATGCCAACCCTGACCTCATGACCGGGTGGGATCACTAACCTTCACACACCTGTGAGGACTTCATTGGGACAGTGAGCATGATACAGCCTGAGGCTGAGCTAGCGCCAAGGTGAGTTCCATACAGAGGGACTATGACATGTCCCTCGTTGTGGCAGGAGGGCATTAGATGGGTGTTATGATCAGCCTGGGCCACCCCAGCCTGGGAGGTCAAGCTACAGAGAACCAGAGATCCCAACATGGATTGTTTTTTGGTTTTTTTTGAGACAGGATTTTGCTATGCAGTTCAGCCTGTCCTTGAACCTACTTATATAGCCCAGGCTGGCCTCGAACTTGCAGCAATCCTCCTGCCTCAGTTTCTCGAGTGCTGGGATTACAGGCGTGCACCACCACACCCAGCAACCAAGGTGGCTCTTTCTTCCTTCATTTACCATCAAGACTGATCAGGGATGGAAAAGTCTAAGTATGACACTACCATGTGGCCTAAACTGAACTTGGTACTCAGGGGAGGGGTTGTACAGGCAGAGGTTATGCAGAGCCCTTCCTGAGACATGGTTAAGACAGGGTCACCAGGAACTCTGGGCTCAGTACTGCCAGGAGGTGGGCAAAGTGGGAGCATGGTCATTGGAGAGGACTCCAGCCAGAGATGGTATCTGCTGCCAGCTGCCTGACTCAGAGCCCCTGCCTCCCACTCTGGGTTATACAGTGTGCTCCAGAAGGACTGGCCTGGCCTCTCCTGTCCCACACCTGCAGCACACTTGAAAGAGAAGAGGCACGGGTGGCTGTGCCAGCAGTGGCCCCACCTCACTCTGGTACAATGCCCTCCATGCATCTGGAGAGGGGGACTCCCCACCAAGGTTCTGCAGAGTGAGCCACCCACCCACTCCTCTGTGGTCCTCACACTGAAGTCCCACTAACTGCCTGCTACGGGTGGAGTCCCTGATCTCCGGGGTATCCTGTTCCATGCACCACCACCTGACCAACTCCCCTCCCTGGGAGGGAGGACAGTTGACCTTATCTGACCAGGAGTGCACAGTGGGGTTCAGAGTCGGGAGACACTCACCCGAGCTCTGCCAGGACCCAGGGACTGCCACAGAGCCAGATGCCCAAAGCAGGCCCTGGGGATGCTGGCTATCCAGGACGGCACCATGGTGGTGCTGTGGCTCTTAACTGGCATGGCGACTGTGGGCAGGTTACCTCTGCTATATTTGCCATCTGGGCATAGTAGCAGTGCCCACCTCACAGAGGTGGCAATCATCAAGTTCTCGGACCTATGGCTGGTGCGTGGCAATTTGAGGGCTTCCCCTTTGCCATGCTTGTAGATGCAGGAGGTGCTGGCCATTATCACCACTGAGGGTCAGGGACCCATGAGGAAACACCACAGACAGCTGGTCCCTCCCCAGCTCTTGCCACCCACAGGCACCCGAAATGATTTCTTGATTGAATGCCATTTCACAGCCCAGCAAACTGAGGCCTCAGGAATGGCACTTTGTCAAAGGACTTGACACCAGGTGGTCTGGCTCCAGAGGCTGCATTCTTAGCCCCATGCTAAAGAGCCCCTTGTGAGAGCTGCTCCAGTAAACCAGTGACTCGGACAACAGCAATGCCCCAAGTTGGTAGATGAGAGGCTACAGAAAGGCTAACTTCTTGACCAAAGGCACAGAACTGCAAAGAGCTGACCTGGGGTCTGCTTATGCAGGGCACTAGAGTGCTTCCTGTCAGCCTGTCCTGCTGTTTGGGACCTCTGCAGAGAGCAGGCAGAGCTGCTGAGGCCACCATGCCTCCCCCAGCACGGGGATCTCTCCAGGGAACACTCAGCCCCAAGCTCCAGCTCAACCCTATCTCCTGAGCACCTGGAGTCTTGGAGGTTGGATACCTTTACCCCAGCTCGAATGTGGGCAAACAGAGGTGGGCAGCTAACCTCTCACCTAGGGAGACACACAGCCCCCACTTTCCTCTCTTCACCAACAGCCAGAGGAAAATCCTTTTACTTCTAGACCCCAGAATGGAGATCCTTCCAGAGGCGCCACCAGCACACACAGACAGGGTGCACGGTAGGAGCAGAGGGTGGGCTCTTGCCTGGAGACCATCCCAGCCTAACAGCTCCTGGCCCAGCCCAGGCCTAGTCAGGCCAGGCCAGGGGGAGGGGACAGCTGCTCCCTGCAAGGCAGAGGGCCAGCTTCTCAGCCTGCAGACAGGAGCCCCTCTGTCCTTGTAGGACGAGCTGACCTTTAACTGGCCCAAAGGTCCTGCTGGCTCCAACCCCCTGCCCGGGGGAGCGGATCAGAAGGAAGAGGAGGAAGAAAGGAGGGAGAAGGTCCAGGGCTTTTCCGTGCCAGCCTCACTCTCCCCTCCCAGCCTCCTGCTGTCCCCAGCTCCTCCTGCACTGACCGTCTGCTCTCCTTCCTTCCCTCAAGCCTGGTCTTTCCCACATCCACCCTTTCTGGCCCTTAATTATTTTACCTTTTATTCGCCTGGCACTTTCTAGTTCACTAAATGTTTCTACATTTATCGTCGCATTGAATCTGCACCAGAGAGAGGCGGGAGGCATTAAAAATTCCTGCAAATTGCCAAGTGTTCTTGTTAAAAATGCAAACGTCCCCAGAATGATGAACAGTGAGGCTGGCTGCCAGGGCACCACAGAGCTAATTATTTCATCCTCCAAACGGGACCGGGCGCCTGGGGAAGAGAAGTGCTTGGACAGCACCCTTGGGGTGGTAGGACCCTGGGGGACAGGAGCGTCTCTGGCAATCAGAGGGTGCTGGGCCCCTGGCGGAGGAGAAGGTGCCCCAAGAAGGGGGCAGGGAGGGGCCCATTGGCCTGGCATTGCTCATCCATGCCGCCAGGGGCCCCCGCCCAGTCGGCTCCAGCAGGCAGGCAGAGTGCAATGGCTGGTGCTGGCCTCGTGGAAAAAGCACAGCTAGGGTCACAGGATAAACTGGGAGGTTCTCCCTTTCAGGGAGTCTGCTACCCCAGCTGAAAACAGATGTAGAGGGCCAGACTGCTCCCAGCTCCAACATTCTAAGGCCCCACAACCAAATCAAGAAAACAAGCCTGGGGCCAAATCCCAGACAGGGTATCCAAAGAGCTCCTGGGCTCTGAACACGCTCATTTTTGGAGGCTCCGCCCCACCTATACATATTCAAATGAACCACACAAATAAATAGGACTCGGCTAGAACCCTCCAGGGGTGACCTGGGTTGCAGCTGACCATTTGACATAATGTTAGGTTTTGTAGCTAAATTACACACGCATTAACTTCAACTCTGCAGCCCTCTTTTCACATTTCGGAGCACACTGGTTTGTTTCCAGATCTCAAACATTTTCATTGGCACCTGATGAAAGCTTATGGGCCCTAGATGCTTCTGCGTGCCCAGTGCTCTGACCAGAGACGCAGGCAGTCGGCCTGAAGAAACCCAACAGTGGTTTTAAAAGAAATGCAGCCATCACTGTGTTGCACAGGGGGACAGGGCAAGCTTCACTTAAGGCCATGGCTTCTGAGGAGCCCTCCCAGACTTCTCTGAGAGAACCAAGGCCACATGAACCAGGGGCGCACAGTTTAGAGAGGGGCTGGAAGCCACGGGTCACCACCTACCCTCCATGGCGTCCTCACGATGCCCATTGAAGTTGTCGTAGGAATCCCAGCGGATGAGGGGGTCGGAGGTGTTGTAGTCCACAGACACGCTGGGCCCGTTCTCCAGGTGCTCCATGCCTGATGGGAGAGGCAGGGGCAGACAGGGAGACAGCGGAGAGCGAGGAAAAGAGATCAGCAGCTGGAAAAACAGAGAGCCCATACCTCCCCCCAGGATGCTCCCTAAGGGACTTCTCATGTTCTTGACCATGGTAGGGCGGGCCTGGTGGCTTAAATTGGATGGAGAACCCAGGGGTCTGGTTTCTTGCATTCCTGAACAGGCTCATAGCAGGTCACAGGGTCTAGTCAGGACAGGGCACGGATGAATGAAGACCCTCATCCCTGGATGAGTGCCTGCCCTTTCACTTTTGTATCCCCGGTGCCCCTACAGCAGGACCATGAGACCAAGGAGTTTGCCCTGGAGTCAGGAGAAGGGGTATGGGACAGGCTTGGCACGGACTCCCTGGGGTCAGGGACAACAGGGAAATAGCAGCTGTGACCCAGGAGGACACAGAGCTTCTAAAAGGTCATCCCAGGCATGCCCTTGGGCGCCACTTAAAAAGCCCTCCACTCCAGACACCTGCAGCAGGGGACCGGGTCTCCTTCCCATCCACAAAGCCAGCTCTGAGACCACACAGCTGCAAGCCCAGCCTCCCAGGGTCATCACTCCCTGGCCTGACTGTCCTCTCCTAGTCCATCCAGAGTGGCCCTGCCCATAACCCAAACTCGTCTCCTCCTTTCTGTTCCCAAATAAGATGAAGAACAAGTGGTCTCCATATTTAGAGCCTGGAGGCTTAAAGGCTATTATTAAATGGTCCTTCAGGTTAAATCACCTCAACCCTCTTAAATACTCACCAGCCATCCAGCACCTTCGAATGCGTCCCCACCTCCAGCCTCTCCCCCCAGCCACCAGCCCCATGGTCTCTGAATATAACAAGATGGTGATCTAATGAGACCAGGACAGTTTATCCAACCCAGCGCCTCTCTGTCTGCTATTTTATTTTTATTATCCAGAGAGTAAGTCAGTAGCTTGCGTTTAGCTGAGGTTCACTCTGATAGCCAGATCCTTTTCCGCTGGCCCGCCGCTCAGTCACAGGTAACTTGGTAATTGTAGTGAGATCACTGGGAGGATGGTGGGACAGGACGGGACAGGTCAGGATGGAGGGGAAGGGTACGATAATGGATTCTAACTTGTCTTATACCTTGAATTTTCTCTGGACCATAAGAAAATACAAACTCCACTTTGCCATATTCTGGAAATCGATCATCTGAAAAAGAGAAAAAAACAAAAATGGGCAACGAATTCTTTAAAAAGATTCCATAAAAAGAGTTTCTTTGTGAATCACAAGTTTCAGCCTGGACAACTTAGTGACTTAGCAAGACTCTCTCAAACTGAAATGTATTTTTAAAGAACTGGGGATATAACTCAGTGTGAAGACCTCGGGTTCAAGCTCCAGTACTACCAAAAAAAAATTCTTGTAGAAAAAAATTAAGGCGTATATGTTAGCCATATGTTAAAGGTTACTAATACAATAATACATATGTGTATTTATACATATGAAATTATACCTGTACAATGAAATCTTCTCACTTTACCCCAGTCCTATTTGCCTGCAGTAATAATTTCTAACCATTTCTCTTTCTTATTCTACAAGTGTTTACCAACTCCAAATAATAGTCTGCAATTTCATACCACAATTTCTAAATACCAATTTTAAATCATCTCCATTGACCACCACTATGAGAATGAATAATTTGGTTAACGTATACAACTCCATCTTTTATCTGGCTAAGTTATTAATTCTATTTATTCTAATGATTGCCTTTGGGGCTATTAATACTATAGTTTGGCCTCTGTTTCTTGGTCTATCCATTTTTGAAAGTGTTTCCTGATTCTTACTATGGAGAAGGAGGGAACTGGGAACTCTTCTTCAATCTGTCTTCAATGACTTCCTATTTGTGAGATATACCTTTACTTCCCCCTCTTCAAAACTGGTAACAGTTATAGTCTGTTCTACAATTACAAGAGCATCTTCTGTTGGGCCCCCCCAGAAACATCCTACCCTATAGGAACCACACTGAGGGGACCTGTCCCTCTTCCCAGGCCCAGCCCATCTGCTCACTGCTTTCAGGAAGGGGTTAGAGCAAGGATGCTGTCTGGTCTGTGGGACACCCATCATGCCGGCATGTATGTCCCTCACCATGGGCATCGCTTCATGAGATCATGTTTGTGTGTGTGTCTCTCTCTCACACACACACAAGGCTATGAGATCCCAGAGGACAGAGCTTGACTTCTTCCTCTCTGTATCTCCAGGATCTAGCACATACCTGGCACATATATACTTGGTAGATGGGTGGAAAGAGAGATGGATAGATGGATGGATGGATGGATGGATGGATGGATGGATGAGAAAGAGGGATGGATGGATGGATGGATGGATGAAAAAGAGGGATGGATGGATGGATAGATAGGAGGATAGATAGATGAATGGGTGGTGGGTGGATGAGAAAACAGATAAGTAGGTAGGTGGGTATATGAATGGATAGATAAATGAGCAAATGTGAGATGGACGAATGGATGGATAGATAGGTGGACAGATATCTGAATGGATGGGTAAATGAATGAATAAGAAGACTGATGGATGGATAAATAGATGGGTGAGTATACGAATGTGTGGATAAATGAATGAATGATTGGATGGATGGATGGATGGATGGATGGATGGATGGATGTGTGGATACATCCCCAGCTTCAATGTGATACAGATGAGACCTCAAATGAACAGCAAGAAAAATATTGAAAAGAAGACAGCAAACCTTCCCCGATCACCTCTCCTTCCCTCACCACACCCCCTCCACTACTGCTATTCTATCCCCACAGGATAATTACTCCCTGGTAATTATCCTCCATAAGACTTTTGGGCTCCACCAACAGAGATCATGTCCTGTTTTACTTTGACTCCCCAGCACTTAGGACTGAGCCTCAAATAAAATAGTTGCCCAGTGAATGTTGAAAAGTTGATCACCAATAGATTCAGGGAGCAAATTAGGAGGACAAGAAGAAGGAGTGCCAAGAGAAGGGTTTGAGACACAAAAAAGCCCAGGGGCTGGGGAAGGATTTCTCTCCACTTCTACTACAACTTGAATTCCCAGAATATCCCAACCTCAGCTCTGTCCCAGTTGTCTCTCAATTTCTCCCACTGTCACCAAGAGCACCCTGAGACTCGGCAGATCATGGGGCTCAGAAACAACGGTTCCCATGTGTACCATATCCCCTCAAACTGGGCTCTTCTCCTGCCACAGAAGCCCTACCCATGGAGCCTACCTTTGAAGGCCTCATCAAGATCCTCCTTCCCGAAAACAACTCCCAGGTCATGGATGGCACAGGTGTGGAACTGCACACGGAAGATGACATCTCGGGAGGGGCTCCGGAACTTCTTATGGTAGCACTTGAGCTGGGGGAGACGGAGCAGAGGAGAAAGGTTAGGCCTCAAGGCTCCTGCCTGAGCCCCAAGACTTACCCCAAACCTATAAGGGAGAGGTCACCCCTTGGGATTTCATAGCTCTCTGGGGAAACTTCTAGAACAGCAGAGGGGTGGGGGCCAGTCTTTACCCATAGGAACAAAATCGTCCTCCCAAGAAGTTCCTACAGATATGTCAGGACGGAAAAAGGAAGACTGGGTTTAGACTGCATCAGGGAGGACTGGACATATGAGAGGATCTTTGTCACTAGCAAGGACCTCACCAAGTGCTATTTCACCCAGAGATGTCCCAGAACAAAAAATGAGCCCAGGGAAGGAATATGAACTCTAAAGCAAGGCAGCAGACTAGGACTGCTGGAGGCTAGAAAGTTCTGCAAGAGTCTTGAAAGCCCAGGATTCCAAGCATGGCAGCCACCAGAGGTGACTCGTAGGTCCCAGGGGCAGGAGCGGTGCAAGAGAAGGGCGGGGCTTGAGATGGAGGGAACACTCACCAAGATGTCCCCCTTCAAGAGCAGTCCCGGCTCGATGGTGATGCAGATGCTGGTCTGGCTGTCTCCCGGAATGTTGCTAAGGAGACAGAGACACAGAAAAGGGTCTTCTGGGGGCAGGGGCTGCATGTGCTCCCTCCTGCCCCAGTGCCGTGCTACTGGGAACCTCACTGACTTAATCTCTCTTGAGAGAAGGAGTCAGGGAACCCTACCACTACCTCCCCGCTCCTCAGTCCTGGGCCTTGGACATCCCTGGCCTGGAGTCCCCATGAGATACTTACTAGATGCCCGACGTGTAAACAGGTTGCATGGCCTGGTAGATGCGGAGAAAAGGCCGACACCCTGTCAGAGAGGGGTGGGTATTAACTGAGACGGCAGAAATAGTGGGCAGGGAAGAGCAAAGGGAAGAAAGAGACAGAAGGGAAGGAAGGAAGAAATGAGGGGGGAGACACAGGGAGGGGAAAAAGGAAAAGAGGAAAGAGCAAAAGAAGAAGCAGGAAGAAGAAACATCCGGACGTTTCATTTGTAAAGTGTTTTAAGTTGTCAGAAACATGGTCACAAGCAGCAGCAGCAGCCGTAGGCACTGCAAGTGTCAAACTCGTTTTGTAGATGAAGAGACCCGAGCTCAAAAAGCTCAGGAAATGACGTGAGGGAGGCTCCAAGGCAGCTCACAAGTCCCTCAGCAGGAGGAGCTGGAAGGGGAGGAGGAGGCGGAGGGGAGGGAGGCCCAAGAGAGGGATGGAAAGGTACCTCCTTTAGACTCAAAGTTGGGGATGCCGTGCATGATCACATGGTGCAGAAACAAGGGCTTGTTGTTCATTTTGATGGAGCCGGAGAGCAGGCCGCTGAAGTAATGCACGTACCTGTGCGGGGAGAGGGCAGCTTCAGGGTGGGAGGCCCGGGCTGCTACAGAGTCACAGCTGTTCTCCCTTCTGCAAGAACACTGCCCTAGGCCACCCGCCGACTCTCCCCAACAACGCGTGCCCCTCTCCCGGGCCTCCTGGCAGCTGAGGTCTCCACCCAAGACCAGACTCACCGGCTGCTCAGAGCCCCAGGTAGGAAAAACAGCCTGTATTGTGAGACCTGGAGCTCGGTCAAACCCAACCACCTATTTAGAGTTTGCCACTGCCCCCTGGTGGTGAATATACGCATCTCTTCCCAGCTTCCCTCCCAGCCCAGGAATCTCCTCATATCCCTGATGAGCATCATTTAGCTGCTCATTACTGCATAAGGCAAGCTGCCCAAGCAGCGACCAGCTCTGGCAGCCTCGCCCAGCCAAACCAAGCTTGTGCTTATACTTACACCACGCCTACCATTATGGCCTGGATGTGCCCCATACACCTACCAGCCCTATGATAGTCCAGAAAACAGCAAGAGCCTAATAATTACAGCCCTTTATTTTATATCATAGCAAAGTATACAGAGGGCCTCTGGATCAAGTACTGCCCTTGGTATTTGCAATAGCTAACTTCCAGTAAGAATCTCTATGTCTAGGGTCAGTATCATCCAATTCTGTTAGCAAATAGCTTGTTGGAAGAATGGAACCCATATCCCCTCCTTCTAGATAGGGAGGAAAAATCAGGTGCAGAAACGGGCGTCGGACTCCCAAAGGCACACAGCAAGAACACTCAGAGCTGCGGGTGGGAGGAAAAGGAGAGAAGTCTGGGCTTCAAAGCACCAGCCTGAAGTGGGCAGAGATCCTCTCACCCTTGATTGGCCAGCACCTCCACTTTTTCTGACAGGGTGATAATGCCAGGCTAAGTCACACAGGCCAATCAAATGCATCCTGAGGCTCAAGGAACCAATAGTTGTTTGAGGAAGGTGGGACCGGAACTGTGTGACCAGGACAGTAGCACCTCCTTTCTCTGGGTTCCTTGGCCCACCTCCAAGCCCATGGGCCTCTGTCCCTGAGTCTGGGTGGGGCCACTTCGGACTACCCAAGCAAGATAATCTGATGGGCAGCGCCAGCTCCTATTCAGGCCCAGTGCCCAGCCCCCAGCCCCATTAGTCAAACCGGAAACCCAGCATGGCCAGTTCCCATCAGATCTCCCAATCGTGCCAACAGGATGTGTCTGTGCTAGGGACAATGAGTCCGGGGGCGGGGGACAATGAATGGGGGAGCTACAGACAAAGCCCCTCCCTCGCTCTCTCCCTGACAGCTTCTCCTCCAACTGCCACATTCTCTATAAGAAGCACAGACAAGAAGGCGGGAAAGTGGCAAAGACAGCATAGGAAACCCACACACGGTAGATAGGATGCCCTGCCCTTAGCAGATGCAGCGGCAGATATGAGCTGCAGGCCAACACTGATAATACACACACACACACACACACACACACACACACAAAACTGCATGCTCTGTAGCACATGCCTAGGTCCATGGATTCCTCTTCCTGAGAGGTCCTGCTAGTGGGTCCCTGCTCTCCAAGCTTCGCTGTTCTGAGTCAGAGTTGTGTCTGTGCAAACCCCAGCCACACTGTGCCATTGTAACAGCTGCTTTTCTTTTAGTGCCCTTTATCCTTCAAGGTCAAGGGCCACAATGTGATGAAGACCAGCAGCCCCAGCGAGCCACAGACCAAGGGACAGGTAGTTGGCCCATAGTGCTGTCTTCCCTGGGAAGACTCACTGACCAGCAGCCGCCGTATCTGGGGCCTTGCCAGGATTTCCTGCACATAAAGCCATCCTGTCTCTGACAGCTGATCCAGAGGCTGGCTGTCAGCTGTTCTGTGCCAACTATAAGATGCTGGACTTCCAATGACTCACTTCCGCTTGAGCTTCCCACTGCAATGGCAGAAAGAGTCCCCAACTGTACCTTCTCACTCCTAGTCAGCCAAGCAAGGTGGGGGTGGGTACACGCTGGGGACCCTCAGTATAAAGAGTCTGGGAAGGTCCAGGACCTGCAGCTAGCATTTCCTGGGGCTAGGAAGGCCGGCGGGCAACCTTGGCCTCTCCGTTTTTGCACCCACCATTGCCTCTGCCCACACCATTTACCCTGATTTTTCAAGGTTCCTCCTCCCCGTTCAGAATTCGCCGCCCGTGTCACTTCCGAAGGCCCATCCACCACTCACCAGCCATAGCACCTACCCTGACATCTGAAATGACCTCCTGTGTGAACTTGGACATCATCCCTTAGAAGCTCAGTTCATGAGCCCTTGCTCAACTCATCCTGCACCATATCCTCAACGTGTAAAACACGTCACAAGCTGACACATCACAGCGGTGGCAGGCCCAGGGCTCCTGGCCACATCAGGCAGGGGCCTGAGTCCCATGCTCCAGTCTCCAGTTTGGGCTGGGATTCACACCATACTGACTGCTTGACCTTAACTGTCCTTGTCCTCCTGTGGGTCAGACAGCACTGAATGACATGCTACCCGCACAGGTCAATCCCTCTGCTCAGGGGCAACATGACCATCAAGGGAGCTGCCCCGGCCCAAGTGTCACTAGGTCTTCACACACACTCCAGCTCTGTCACTGTCACCTTGGCCCCTAGCTGTGACCTCTCCCTGGGTTCAGACTTTTCATCTGTATAATGAAGATGTCCTAAATTGTCACATGGTGCAGTACTGTCCCAGGGCTCAAAATCACCTCTTCTAAGAGGTACTCTCTAGCTGTCCCCGTGAGCAAGCTCAGTCCCCTGTCACAGCTCTGGTTTCTGCAGTCCTCCATTCATCCCTGAGATTCCTTGTCACCTTACAGTGCTGTTATGGTTTCTGTCTGTGTGTCCCCTCCAAAGCCTCATGCGATCATGGGGCAGGCTGTTAGAGTTTGATTATTATGGGTTTGAGAGCTGCACCCGCCCTGGAGTGGATAGTTTGCATATGTAAGGAAGAGTAAGAAGTGCTTGAGGGCATTCCTCCTCCGCCATTCCTCCCCCATTCCGCCCCGGTGTAAGTGAGTTGTTGCTTAGCTGTGGCTGCCGTCCTGAGATGCAGCCCTCTGCCACGTGCCACTCTGCCTTATGATCTCCCAAGTAAGGATTGAAACTTCCACGAACTGTAAGTGAAATAAACCTTTCCTTCCTTAATTTTGGGCGTCAGGTATTTTGTCCCAGAAGCGAGAAAAAAGTAACCAAGACAAGTGCCTGTCTGTGTGGTCACTTTTTTTTAATTGTCAGGGTCTTACTAAATCACTAAGTTGCCCACCTAGGCTTAACTTGCAGTCCTCCTGTTTCAGCCTCCAACAGTCCTGAAATTATAGGCATGGGTCTCTGTGCTGGCTATAGGATCACTTCTTTACTGTCCGGCTATATGGTCACATGTTTAATGTCCAACTCTCTGAACAGACCATTAGCTTCCTAAGAGAAGGAACTCTGTCCCGTTCCCCTGGATGTCCCGTGCCTGGAGTTATACAGTACAGCACCTAAATCTTGCCCACTGAATGAATGAATCCATCCCCACCTTGCTTCCTTCCTGGGTCAGTGTGGGAACACATAAATGAGGGCAGAGGAGGCCCCTCGGCAAAACGTTTTGAGCCCCCCAACAGAAAGTGACCATTATCTCAGGTCTCTGTAGCCTCCTAAGTCAGACAGCAGTGACATCAGCTTCTTGTAGACTCATCCATGCTCTGGAGCAACCCTGCCACCAGGAACAAGGGCAGCATGCGCCTTCTCACACAAGCACTTTGTTTCCCCAGACGGAGCATACCATTCCCCACCGTGTGTGCTCAGGGAAGCGGCTTCAGGAGCCCCCTGCAGAGCCAACCTGCAGGCACACACAGGCTGGCTTGGGTTCACTCGTGCCCCACACTCCATCACTCCAGGCTGAACACACCTGCTTGGCACCCCCCACGGAAGCAGCTGCGCCAGCCCCGTGCACACACACCCTGGAGACCCACCTTCTCTGGGATGGCTGGCCGATGGGCACAATCTTATCCTCATAGAATCTCTTCATTGCAAACCGGTCCAGAGCCTGGTCCGCACTATGGGGAGAGACAGGTAGTCCGAAGAGCTGACTCCCACATCCGAGAGCTTCTCGTCCCCCAGCCCTGCTTCTCTCAACCTGCAGTGCTCTCCAGCCCAGCCTGCTGCCTGATGGGAAGTTGAACCTCCTCCTCCTGCCAGGCTGCGCTGCGGTGCACCCAGGAAGAGTGTTCCAGCATCTCTCCATCCTGTCTGATGCCGGGCTTGGCCTGTGGGCTTTGAAGCCGGATGTCCTGGGAGCCCGAATCAAGGCTACCACTTACTGACCCTGTGACTTAATCCTTCGGACCCTCATCTCCCTCATCTGTCAGATGGGCTGATGATCTCACCCTCCTCAAAGGTTTTAGGGATTGGGTGAGACACATGCACAGCGAGCAGGCACACTTCACAGGGAGTGTTTGCCATTAAGCAAAGACGAGGCTGAGTTGGGTTTCTCTCCTGACAGAGAGCTCAGAGAGATCATTCTGAGATGAAAGGACAGGTCACATGGCTCCTCTGTTCTTGGCTCTTCAATGACTTGCCATGACTCTTACATTCAACTCCAAGGTCCTCAACATGGCCTACAAGGACAGGTGGCTGGGCCTTCCGGCTTCCCCTCCCCCACCTCAACACATCCGCCCCCTCCCATTCCGCGCCTGGCCTTGCTCCTTCCCTGAGCTAGCCTTCAAGCTCCTCCCCAGGGCTTCACAGGTCCCTGCACCAACTTCACGAAGTCCACAGGCCTTCTCTGACCCCATCCCCCTGGCCACTGTCTCTATCTATTCACGCTCATTATCACCAGAAATTACTGATGGATTTGTTTACTTATTTACTGTCCACAGGGCACGGGCCTGGCACCGTGCAGGGCACAGTGGTTGTTTAATAGTCACAGTGCAGTGAACAAATAAAGGAATGAATGGATCCTGGGGCCTCCCTACAGAACGGATTCAGATCAAGAACGGGCCACCAGTTGCTTCCTGTTCTCGCTCCATGACCCCCAGGCAGTAAGAGAACCCTTCTGGCCAGCAACAGAGAGACGGAAGAGATAACTTCTAGAGGGTTCCACCAGACCTAGGCTTGATCGAACATTTCTTTCAGATTCCCGCCCTGCTCACCAGGGAAACAGAAGGCAGTTGGAAAAAGGCAAGTGGCCCCAAGACGCTGACTGGGTGGGGTGCTCAGGGCCACGCCTGCCTCCCAAGGTTGCCCCCACAGGGCCCCAGAGAGGGGACAGATTCTCCTCTCTCCTCCCACACGCTCCTGCCTTACCACTGTGGGCAGTTCTTTCTACTGTTCTGGGGCTCCTACCCCCACTCACCTCTCATCCCTTTATCGGACCCTCCCACCCCAGGGAAGGCAGAGGCCACAGTGGGAGCGGGGGCAGGGAGTCACACTATCAATGATCAGGGGACAAGAGGATCAGGCCCTCCTACCTGGCAGAAATGTTGCTGTAGTGCATATAAGCCGCGATCACAACTCCTATCCTGCCTCGGTTTCCCTAAAAGAGGAAAACAACCTTTATTTCTAAGGCTGCTTCAGAGACCACACAGAAGCCCAGAAGGAAAGAGCACAGGGCCTGCAGAGTGGGGTGTGGCTCCTGGGGAGAGCAGAGGAGGAAGGGGGACACAAGGAAGGAAGTGAGGAGGACCTGGGTCTCAGAATAAGCACAGCTGGTCATCCACTACCGAGGACACAGCTGGTACCCCCACTTCTTGGGTATGCCCTCTGGGACAGAATCTATCATCCTGCAGAATGGAAAGGATAGGCAGACTTGCAGGCAAACACAGCCCAAAGACACAGGCAGGACACACACTCCCATGGGGACACATTCCAGTACATCACATGTGCACACATGCATACACATGCACATACACCACAGCCCAGCTCTGACCTTGTTGTGCAGGACGACAACATTGTGTGGGTCTGCATTGAGCCAAGTGTCCACGGCCTTGCAGACGCTGCAGATCTTCTCCAGGGCTGGAGTATGCAGGTCGGGCCAGCCAAACTCCAGTACCTGTGGTTGCAGGAGAAGAGGAAGCCTTGGGGAGTTAGCTGGCAGCCAGAGTGGACCCCAAAGCCAGACCTCAGCTACTGTCCTGCTAGTCAGCCCAGATGGGAGGCTGAGTGTGGAGAGCGAAGCCAATAGCAAGGACTGGAGACCCTGGGCCTGGTGTTGGCTCGGCACTGACTCACTGTGGAATCCAGGCAAGCCGTGTTCCCTCGACCAGCCTCAGTTTCCTCATGTGTGTAAAGGAAAGGCTGGGAGCCGAGCACCCCGGGGTCTGTAGCACACGACTCTGACCTCAACAGGCGCAGAGTGGTCTAAACATGGCCCTCAGCAAAGCCCCCTGTAGCCCACTGACCAAACAAAGTAAACACTGCCACAGGAGCCTCTAAAAGAGCGGTTCCCGGCCGACTGAAATCTGCAAACTAGAACTCTCACCCTCCAGCCTCACCCTGAGATCCCAAGTGCTCCCCAGGGAGCAGGTGTGGATAGGAAGTCGCTGCACAGATCAATGCCTTCTGTAATTTGCACTATGGAAAGAATCAGTGTGCTATCACCCACTTTCCAGGTGTCAGATGCTTTGGAACTCTGAACAGGTTGCTTAAACTGTCCCAGTGCTATTCCCCAAGATCTCAGTGCAGGAACCTTTTTCCTTCTCTTTCAGGCAAGGCGACAGCACCCCAAAACAGCGACCGGCTCACCTTGGCGTGGAGCTTCGTGATGTCAGGTCTCCGCTCAGAGAGGTTGAACAGCTAGGAAGAGGCAAAGAAAGAGACTGAGCAGTGCAGGTGAGACGGCCAGGGAGAAGAGAGGTGTGGCAGGGATGTCCGCTCATTACACGGGACTGCTGGTGTCATTTCCAGCTCCTCTGCAGAACCCACTGCATGGCCAGACAGAGTGGCATCAACCTCTGATAGGCAGGGACCCAGACCACAGCTCCCTGGATTTCCTGCTCATCTCTCTCTTTCTGACTCCCTCGCTAGTGGAAATGCCACCCACCCACAAACACATGCTGCCAGGCAGAAACAGCTGTCAGGAGCAAGGGAGAGAGAGCCCTAGACACAGCCACGCCTCCAGTGAGCGCTCATATGAACTAGGTCTGCGGCAGAGTGGAACACGACCCAGCAACGGCTTCAGAATCTCACCCCATGACATTACAATTTCTCAGTCACCACATACCTTCCATCACCAGGTGTAGACATCCCTGGTGGGCCCTCTCTGACCCCCAGCACATGGCTCCCAGCATGTGCTCATCAAAGCTGAGGTCCTCCTGTCTCAGGCGTTCCTCTCCCCACCTCCAAAGGGATGTGCAGAACTATCCACCTCTAGCCACTGCCCGGAAAATTCAAAGACCACTCTATCTTCTACTGGGAGAAGACAGCCCAGCCTGGAATAGGCAGGATGCAGAGAGCCGGACAGTGCAGAGACCCACAGAATTCTGCACTCCTGAAACCAGGATCTGGGCAGCTTCCAGTCTACCCCCAAATGAGCACATCTTGTTGCATTAGCAATAGCTCCCTCTCAGTGAGTGTCCTACCAGCCCTGTGCTAAGGACTTTATGTCTCCCAGCTCGCTTAATTTTCTTACCAGCTGGAAGGCGGTAGCACGTGTCACAGACACATTCTGCAGATGGGAAACTGGAGGCTTAGTGAAGCTAAGCAGCCGAGATCACATGGTAAGCATAAAGCCAGAATTTGAATCCAAGACTTTCTGATGTTTAAAGACAGGCTCTTAGCAATGCCCCAGCACAACAGATGGATGGTTCTAGAGTGGACTGAAGTGGCCTCCAAAATTCATGCCCTCTCAGCACTTTGGAACACCTTCCTCTTGGGAAATAGGGTCTCTGTAAGTAGTTAAGAGTCTTGATATGAGATCATCTTGGACTTAAGGTGGGCCCTAAAGCCAATGCTGGATGTCCTTATAACAAGAGGCGAGGACACAGAGGGGGATCCAGGCCAACAGCCATATGAAGATGAAAACAGACCGTAGCCGGATACAGCTACAAGCCAAGAAGTGCTGAGGGGTGCTGGGAGCCGCTAGAAGCTCAGAACAGGGACAGAAGGATTCTCCCAGCCAGGATGCGGAGCAAGTAGAGCCCTCCCACACCTTGACTTCAGACTTCTAGCCTCTATAACTGGCAGACAATTGATTTCCATCTTTGTAGGCCACACAGTTTGTGGTTATCTGTCCCACGGTCAGCAACCCTGGAACACTCAGCCTTCCCTGTTGCACCGCTGCAACCCTGCAGGCAGCCCATTGGTCCAGCCCACAGGTACTTCCCTGTAACACAGACCCGAGCCTTCCTCTGGGCCCAGGGACAGGTCAGCCCCTCTGCACTAGAGGCCTCCAAAGGCCACGTTACCTGCATATATGCTCTGGGCCAGACACAAAGTCCCCAAAGACACATGTGGCCATGATTTTGGCCCAGGACTTCTCAGAGACACCAACACTGTACTAACTCTGCCACCTCCAGACCCTGTGACCTCAGCCAAATCATCCTACCTCTCTGCTCTAGCAAGTGTCTGCTTCCCAGGGATTTCATGAAGGCCAAAGCAATTAACACAGGGCCTGGGGCTCAGGAAGCCTCAGTGACATGAACTTGCACTGTTAGCCTCCCTCCTGCATCACACACACGGTTCCAGATGCTGCAGTCCACTACAGACATCCTCCTTAGAATCAAGTCAAGACCCAGGCCACAGGGTATGCCCAGGCTAACCAAGGAAAGAGGGAGCCCTGGCCCGGGGCAGGTACACAGCCACGACAGCAGTGGCAAGCAGGTGAAGAGCAGAGCGGCCGCCCTCACCAGGTAGTTGCCTCCATGTTTGGACTTGAGCATCTGGGCCACCTCACGGAGATTGTTCTTGAAGTTCTCCTCCTTGGCTGTGCTGGGGAAGGACACGGCGATGATCCTCTCTGTGACATACACCAGGTCCAGCTCACAGCTGTCCTCCGTGCTACGGCTCACACTCATGTTTCTAGGGAGACAGTGGGCAGAGGGACCCTAATCAGAATCCAATGCCCTAGGCAATCTCCCTATATCTACATCCTCCTCATATGACATGTGACCCCACCTTCAGCCCCACGAGCTTGTCCCATGCCCTAGCCCGGGGCCAAGGCCTAAAGCTCCCCCTGGCAAGGCCTGGGCAGCCACATGAGAGTGCCACACAGAACGAGCGGGCCTGGGGCTGGCAAACACCTCAGGCCACATCAGAACCCAACAATGTGAAGACACCAATTCTCCATTCCTGTCATCCTACGACTCCAGAGGTCAGAATCAGGACTGCCCAGCCAGGACCCCAGGAGCCCCACCCTGCCCCTAGACATCGTGCCCTCCTGGCCAGAGAGAAGTATTCAACGGACACAGGGCATCGAAGTGGAGACTTCAGCCACTTCCTTGCTGGCTAGCTGTGAAGGTGTGGGAGGCCTCTCAGCAAGGGGACAGCTCAGATGACACGCTCACTTGGACTCCACGTAAGCCAGACCACTTTTCCAGCCTTCCCAAGGTGGACTGGCTCCTGCCCTTGGTCTCTGGCTCTCCCCACACCTCTGGCTGTTCCCATCGCCTACTAGAGCTGCTTCATGGCTGTAGCATCTCCAATTCTAAGGGCCCAGGAAGGACAGAGTCTTCGCTGAGGCTGTGGTGGGAAGTTCCGTGGAGGTGGCAACCACTGAGCTGGGCGCTGGGAGAGAGAGCAAGGGGCTCCCATCTTGACACGTGTCCTGGCTTCTTCTCCAGGGGACAGCCCAGGATGCCCCCACACCTGTCACCCATCCGCATCTCCCAGCCCCCGGCTTCCCTCTCTATCAGAGGTGGCAACACTGACTCCATTTTGCTAGCCTTCCACCAAGAAGGATAGAGCAGAGACTGGAGCAGCATTTAAAAGTGATGGTGATGGGCTGGTGATATAGCTCATGGGTACAAGCACCTGCCTGGCAAGTGCAAGGTCCTGACTTCGATTCCTGATACCAAAAAAAAAAAACACCAAAACTTTTAAAAGTGATGGTGAGACAAGCCCAGGGACAGCAAGGGGCCTGGAAGAATCCAGATCTCCACCAGGATTGAGTGGTACAGAGGACCAGAGGCCAGGGTTAAGGAACCCAGGATGAGTCAGACCTTTGTGCCCTGGCCACTCCTTGTCCCGGTGACAAATTTCTCCCAGCAGCCATGGGGATGGGATTCTGCCTTCGGCCACTGCCTCCCCAAGGACAGGCCGGGACAAGAAGCCACATGCACGTGTAACCTCTAAGATGGGCACGAGGGCAGGGAGACCGGCTAACAGACTAGTCCTCCTGTCACTGTCTAATCCACAGCCCCTCTGTCCTGGCTCCTGGGAAGGGACAGCACTATTAGGAAAACTTGCAAGCACAGCCCCTGTCTTTCCATCTTGGCAAGAGAGTGAGAAGGGACATGGTGGTGACAAGGCATGAGTCAGACGAGGCCAACCCTGCACACTCATCTGCCATGTCCCCAAGCTGCTTCTTGAGGGTTATTCTTGAGGAATAACAGGCAGGGAGAACAGCGCCACCAGCTGGGAAATCTAGGCATTGCACTCCATATCCTCCCAGCTTTTCCCAGCTAGGAGAGGTTCTCTAAAGCTCCACCTCCAGCCCGTGGGCAGCTCTGGCAGCTGGGCCACAATCACTAGGGGCTTCAGCTGCCTGCCAGGGCCAGCACTGTCACTGATCTTGGGAGCCTCAAGGGGTGGGGGATCCAAGGCAGCGAACCTGGACACAGACAAAACAGGCTGAGTCCCACAGCACGGGCCTCCAGCAGCCCCTCCCCACATAGGGCACCTCCCGTGGACAGATAGCCCCCCATAAGAAACTCTGCTAAGAATGAGATCTAGCACAGCCTTAGGACCAGCCAGTCTCCCAAGTGCTACCTCCGGGAGGCTGTGTGACCTTTGACAGGCCACCTCTGCAACTTGTTTATCTGCCAGCATACCTTGCTGCGCTTTGCAAGGCCTAGATGAGCTCATGCAGGTAAATAAAGGATCCAGCTCAAGGTCAGGTTTAGCCCTGGAACTCAAAACATAGGCTGCCAAGGACCATCTACCCACATACACGTTTTCTCACTGAGGCTTGATGGCTTTGGTCTCAGAGACCCAAGGATAAGACTTGAGAAGAACACCTACCGTGACCCCTACCTGTGCACCTCCACCCCACCCCCCGTGGGCCAGGCCTACCTGGTGGGCGGTGCAAGTGGCTGGACACTTGATGGGACTCTGGTTGCTCCCTGGGAAAGAGAAAGAAGAGGCAGCGTTACAGGGGGCGGGCAGGAGGGCAGGAGGGCAGCAGCAAGAGCGGCCCCTAGGAGCATCAGGGCCACGGACAGACACAGATCCTCTGCTTTCTCTGCAAGGCACTCCGGCCCTGCCACTCCAGCAGCACAGCAACCAGAGCCAAACGCAGTCAAGGCCAACTGCACATGAGCACGCTTGCCCATGTGCAGCCCCCAAAAGGGGCAGAAGGAAGAAACCCCCCATGCTGAGAAATGCGCCCAGCCTGGGCTGGTGGGCCTGTCCCGAGGACGCAGTTAACAGCCACTGATCAACAGGGACACATCTCCTCAGACCCTGTCGTCCACCGTGGTGACAACCCCAACTGTGACAACAAAGTGCACCTGTGAGAGCAATGGGAAGACGAGTGTGGCGCGTCCCTTCATCCAGTTCTTGAACTCGACTTCTGACACCATCATCCATGCTCCCCTCCCTCCTCGAAAGCAGCAGCGGCGGGTCATTCAGTCAAGTGACTTGAGACAGAACAGCCCAACGTGTCATGTACTAGCAGCGGTGAGCTGTGCCCCTAAGAACCCAGGGTCTGCTACCCTATCTCATCCACTCCCATCCTGGGCTTGTTGATTATACAAAATTAAGCAAACAGACGCCTATCCCATGGCAATAGGTGTCACAGTAATAAAAGCACAAGGCCAGAGCCCTCCATACCCTGGGCTCTGGGTTCTAGCATCCTGTTGGGCAGGGCAGCCTTGCTGGTGACTTAACCCCCTGAGCTTACTGAAATGTCACATGCAGGATGAGACAACCTTAAGGCTTGCACGGGGATGCAAAGAAATCACGCATATAAGAAGTTTTGCTTAATGCCCAGCATTTAATAAATGGCAACTGATAGTTTCAATGTTGATATTACATCAAGTACAATTAAAAGAGAAGTAACTGATTGGAGGGTTACAACCATTCACCCCTACAGAAAGTCACAACCTGGCTTCCCTCTACTACCAGCAGCTGCCCATCCTTTCAACCGCCTCAAAGATGCAGAGTTGAGATACCCAAGGTCTAGATTCTCGGGCCCAGCCTGGGCCCCTGAGCACCTCAATTTCCCCAGAAACCTGCCAACCTCAATAGCCAAGTTGCAGCCAGCTCTTGGAAGAGACAAGACCGAAATCCGCCAAGGAGAAGAAACACTGAGGCACAGTAGTGACTCACCCCCAAGTCCCCGGGAAGCTGACGGCCAAGCTGGATTCACACGCCAACCTGAGGCTTGACCACAGGACCCCAAGCACAGGAGCTCCCAGCTGCAGGGTCTAAGAAGTAGGGATGGGCACTGAGGCCCAGCTCCCAGCCGAGCCCAAGGTCAAGGCAGCTGGCCAAGAGAAGAGCTCTCCATGCAGCACCCTAGGCGGGCGGGCCGCAGAAGGCCGTGCCCAGAGTCCTGCTTGGGTTCCTCCGGCTCTGAACAGCTCAGCAGTGGCCACAGTGCAAGGTGGCAAGAGCCAAGTGGGCCTGTCGGGTGGAACCTTTCTCAGTCTCAGCAGCTCTGCTGGCCCAGGGACTCAAGTTCGCATGAGTCAGACCAGGAAGAGGGGCAGGAGGGGTTGTGTTTGGTTTTCAAGTCCCCAACCAGGCCGTTCCAAAACTACCCACCCAGAGGAACACAGAAACCCAACACTTCATCCATCTCACTTCCCCAGTCCCTGATGAGGAGTCCCTGACTCTCCCCAGGCCCTGGGCCCTGCTCCAGGCCCCAGGGCCACCCTACTATAAATAGCCCCTCGGGTTTCATCTGCTGCTGATCCACAGCCACTTTTGGAGGAAGCCACCACAGCTGCTTCGAACAACTGGAAGCCACAACTTAGCCAAGGTTTGAGGCGGGGCCAAGAGCATGGATTCAGGCACAGGGAGAAGAGGGACACAACAGGGTGGACTGAAGCAGGCTTGGCTGGGGCACTGGGGAGTCCAGGGGAGCTAGGAGCCTCCAAACGCACAGGGGGAAGGAGGACAAGGAGGCCAAGAGACCTGGCTCCCGTTCCCCACTACCTTCTTCCAAACGTTACGACACTCCGCATTCCTCAGCCTCCCCACCCCAAAAAGCCGGGGCAGATAAATACAAACTTGGCCCAAACAGTCTGGCCACACCACCCCCAGAGGTGATAAGGCAAAGTCCAAGCCTGCCCTGCTCCACCAGCCGGGGGGGAAGCGGGGAGGCGGCAGGGGAGGAAGCTGCCCCGGACGGTGACCCCGCCGCAGAGGACAGGGATGAACAGCTGGACTGTCATCCCCTAATGAATCACTGGGCTGGCCTCGAACCGACGGGCTTCCTGTTTTCTGCAGCGCTGGGGGGCATGTGAGCCTGGCCAGCAGGGAGCTGACGCGTACGGGAGGCGCTGCATGCTGGCATACTCAGCTGCACAGGGAGCTCTCGCACAGCAAATGGGCCGGGGCAGCAGGTGGCGTGGGCAAGAGCGAACCCTCATGTTCCAGAACGCCCAGGCGACCTCAGGGCTGGACACCATGCATCTGGGAGCAGGCCTGATCACACAGCCTTGCGCTAAGTCGAGGCCACCCATCGTCTCTGTGCTCGGTCATGGAGGGCATTCCCTCACAGGGCTCCCGCTGCGTGCCAGGCCAAGTACTAGGCACCAGGGAGTGCAAGGGGTGAGGCCCTGACTACAGAGAGCTGACACTGTGCAGAGAAGCTAGTCATCAATAGGGCTAGGCTGAGAAGAAGTAGTGTGGCCTCATTTACCCATCTATAAAGTGGGTATAACAAAATGCTTACAGCACCTCCTACCTACTCCACTTGGAGCCCCTGGGGAACGCTTTACAGGCTTTATTTTTAAAATAAAAATAAGCTCTCTGCCTGCCTGTAATCGTAAGCTTTTCCTCTCTGAGGATTTGAAAGCCTTTAACCCAAGGGGCTTTGAACTTCCTCCCAGCTCCTCCCAAGTGTCAGACCAATAATAGAAGTTTTGATCCAACTCCCAGGCACCAAACAGAACCCTCCCATCCTCATCTCCAAACACAGTTGCCTTTGCTGAAAAGGCGCTGTGAAAGGAGATTCCACAGCCTTTCCCACTGTCAGGAAGTCCCTCCTGGTATCTAACCTTCATCCTTCCTGCTGCAGACTCAGCCGAAGCTTCAGGTGGGCACCGATCATCACTCAGACACCCGTGGGTGGCTCAAGATTACCACCCTAGGCTCCATTATTTACTGCCTTCTTCCTCTCCCTACAGCAAGAGCGGTAAGCAGGGGGTGGGGAGCGGGGGGGACCTTAGGTGGGGCTGGTTTGAAGCAACGCCCGTGGGAAGAGTCCTGCCTTCCTTTGAGGTCCACAGACCAAACACAACATCTCTGGACCTTTTCCTTAGGAAAAGGAAAGCTGTTTCCTGAGCCCAAGTCCCCAGGGGCACGGGGGGGGGGGGAGAGCGCATAAGCAGCGCCAGGAGCTGTGACAGGCAGCCGGAGGTGGCGACCAGCCTACGTGAGGGGCCCATCCCCATTCCTATGCGTCCTCTGGGGGCCGCGGCCACCCCCAGCCCCTCTGGCCACACCCCTTCCCCTCTCCTTCCTGCCCACCAGCCTGGATTTTTCCAAAACAAAGTGCGACAGAGCGCACCGTCCATAAACTCCACTCCACAGCACCTCTGTCGGAGGGAAAGAGCCATCCTGCGCTGTGCGTCCTGGGCCTCAGGCCAGAGGCAGGAAAACAGCTCAACAAACAACGCATTATCCCAGCTGCAGGCAGGGTCATAAGCGCGCTGCTTGGAGAACAGGCTCCCTCCCCAGTGTGGACTGCAGAGCAGCGCAGCGGCTGGCCAAGCACTGACCCAGGGGTCATCCAACCTGGAACAGGTGTCTAGGAGCCTTAAAAGGAGGTCTCCTAGCTGGGCACAATGGTGCACGCCTGTAACCTCAGCCGCTACTCAGGAGGCTTAGGAAGAAGGATCTCAATTTGGAGCCCAGTCTGGGCAACTTAGTGAGACCTTGCCTCAAAATAAAAAATAAAAAAAAGGGCTGAGGATGTAACTCAGTAAGAAAGCCCTGGGTTCAATGCCCACTACCATGAAAATAAATAAATACAATTTTGAAAGGGTCGGGACCTAGTTTGGTGGTAGAATTCTTGCCTAGCATGCATGAGGCGCTTTACTGGGGTTCAATCTCCAGTGTGCACGCATGCATGTGCATACACACACACACACATACACACACAAGGTTTCCTCTCCTCCCCTACAGTATGTAGTCCAGTCTAGAATCTGCTCACTTGCATACCCTCTGCGCACACCTTTAGTCAGACTAATTAGCCTCGTTATGTCCTTCCTCCCGTTTCCAGGCAAGACACCACCACCGCACACCCTGTCATACACACACAGACCCATTCATCCAGATCAACAAAACATTTTTTTAAGCCACATATGGTGGCGCACATCTATAATCCCAACACTCTGGGAGGCTGAGGCAGGGCAACTTGGCAAATTAGCAAGACACTGTCTCAAAATAAAAAATAAAAAGGGCTGAGGATGTAGCTCAATCCCCAGTAAACTTCCTACACACACACACACACACACACACACACACACACACACACACACAATCCCTCAATCCCAGCTAAATGACCTCTTCCTTCTGTAGGACCAAGATCATATAGGCCCTGGTCGCCAACAGTTCTCCATGATGTCTAAGTCATTCTCTGTTCTTGTAGCTTTGGTGCCTAGGCTCCATCCAGCCCAGGCTGGAAACACAAGGAGCTCTAGGATGTGGCTTCCAAATGTGTCGAGAGCACTGACTCTCACCCTCTCCCCAAGTGAAGGGTTGGGAGCTCTGGATGACACCAGATGCAAGCAGCATCCCAGGAAGGGAGGGAGTGGCATTCTTGGAGTCACCCAAGCCTCTGTTTCCTCATCTGTAAATGGGTCACAGCGTGTGCCACATAGGTGTCATGAGGCACAACTCCTAGCCCTTGATCCAAATCATGGAAATTAATAAGAACGGCCAACATTTATTGAGCACATACTCTATGCTTTGGCTTTGAATACCTTAATCTTGTTCATCCTCCGTAGTAGATACACACAAAAAAATTACTGTGCCCCTATGCTGCAGCCGAGAAACATCACCAACCTGGACAGGGGCACTCCCCAGTACACGTGTCTGTGCCCATAGGAACCCCCATACCTTGAACACAGCCTTGCCCGCTAGCTTGAGAGGCATCCTCCCTTCCCGTCCTGGAGGCCCGTGCAGCCCGGACAGCTCTGCTCCTTCGTGCGGGTGTGTGGGACACCCCAGACACAGCGCAGCGGTGTGGTCGCCTGCAGGAGCTGCCTCTCTGCTCCCAGCAGCTCCCCGCGGGGCCCTCCCCACTGTGTGTCAGGCAGCTGTCAGATGATAGGGCCCCATGCCATCAACAGCTCCCCCTGTGCCAACCGCCAAAACCACTCCCTGTTCCTCCGTAGACCAGCAGTGAGGGCAGAGAGGCCAGAACAGTGCACGCTGGCAGGGGGCCGGGGGAAGAGACACTTATGTGCAGAGTGCAGGGCGTAGAGACAAACAAGCCACTCACAGACCTGACTTGGAGCAGGGTCTCCATGCCTTACCCTGGGTCCCTTCCACTGGAGGTATTTGCCCCTCTGTCCTCACCACCACCACAACACAAGGCAGGAGGGCCCAAGCATCAGCTAGTCCGTCTCCCAGCATTTTCCGGAATTGCCAACAGCTAAACTGCACGCAGGATTTTGCATTTCCAAAGACTCCGGTCCTGCTTCCCAAGAAGGACCCACATCCCTACAACACCCCCAAGATCCAGTGACCCCAAGAGGCCAGGGCCCGCTTCCTCTGGCCCTATACCTCCTGCTGTTGTTTGACCATTTCCTTTACCCCTTCTGAGAGTGCCCACCACCATGCCAGGCTCGCAGACAAGCCCTCCCGCCTCCCTCCCCAAGCTGTCATAGATCAGTGAGCTCTGGATCCAGCCGAGATGCAGCCCAAGGCCAAGGTCGAGGCCCAGCTTTGAGTCAACAGGCAGCTCAGGGCCTGCCCTTCTGGAGCACAGACAAGAGAGCCCCACAAGACAGAGCAGGGCCTCCCTCCCTGCCATCCCCCAAAGACCAGGGACCCAGCTCTTCCCTCCAGCACTTACGTCCTCCTCCAGGCTTTTCCTTGAGTTTCCACCCCGGGAGGTTCCTTCTCCCTGAAGACAGAAGAAAAGCAATCAAGAGAGGGGTCAAGTTAGACAGTGAGAGGGCAGCGTTCTTCTACCTGCTGGTGCATCAGGGCAGAGGTGAGGGGCCTGGGGATTTCTGTCAGACTTTTCTCTGTCCACTAAGAGACTCTCAGAGCTATCCAAACCCTCTCATTTGCAGATTAGAAAATTCAGGCATACATGCCTTGCCTACAGCTACACAATTAGAACTTTATGAGCCAGGGATATAGTCAGTGGCAGAGCGCTTACATAGCACGTGTGAAGACCTGTGTTCAATCTCATGAATGAAGAGAAGAAAGAGGAAGGGGAGAAAAAAGAGGAAGAGGAAGAGGAGGGCAATAAGGAGAAGGAGAAAGAGAAATATCCAGGCATGGTGATAAATGCTTGTGATCTTAGCATTCTGGGAGCTAAGGGGATCACAATTATGAGTGAAACCCAGGCAACTTAGCAATAAAGCAATGTCCTATCTCAAAAAAAAAAAAATTTTAAGGCCTCGAGATGTAGTACCACAAAAATAAAAAGTATTAGAACCTTGGCAGAGTCAGGATTTGAACTCAAATCCTCCAACTCCAAGCCCATGACTTCATACTGGCCACTAGCAAGAGACACCCCTCCGAAGCTAACCTCAGTTTCCCCATTGCAGAACTCACCCACATTCCTCCCTTCCTCTTCTGCCCACCTTGAGGAAATGGTCTCTCTGCTAAGTCAGGCCTATGAGGCAAGATCTGCCCTGGGAGCTAAGGGGATCGCAATTCTACATATTTAATAAAGAAGCCCATTCTACATATTTAATAAAGAGGCCCATATTTAACCACTAACAGCTCCCTCTCCTGCCCGGCTCCCCAGCACCCAGGCCTGAACACACAGTGATGTCAGACACCCAGCTTGCTCCCAAGGTCACCAGCACCCCCACAACTTCCCTCAAGCTCCCCAAATCCAGAAGGACACCCCGAACTACATCCATTCACTTTCCCGCAAACCCCGCTGCACCCAGCCACGCGCAGTCACTCACCGCGTCCACTACATTCCTCGGCGCATTCTCAGCGGTGATGGGCTGCGGACAAAGCAGAGAGCAGTGAGGCCCCAGGACAAACGTCCGCAGGGTGGGCTCACTCCCAGGGCTGGCGGCAGGAGCAGGCACAGGGTGACACCAACCCAGGACTCAGACCTAACCTGGCCAGCCCTGAACTTGAGAGGTAGAGTACCAAAACCAAAGCAGGACTCTGTTAGTACCAGAACCACCCATTTCTGCAAACTTCCACTGAGGACCATGGCCATTTAAAATGGAACAAGAAATGACTCCTAAGTTGCTCTCGATCTTTCAGGCTGAGCATTTTCGCCTGCACTGCCTATTTATTCACATCCAGAATCCAGGGAGGTGAGGACTGTTGGAGTCTCTCAGTGTCACTTTAGAGATAAGAAGTTAAGTGAGTGACCCAAAAGCACCGACTCTAATGGGGACAACAGGACGTGAATTCACCTTGGGCTTCACACTTTGCGCACTTTGCATGAAGTCGCAGCAGCTGGGGAGAAGTCTGCCCTACTGCTCCAGAAGGCTTCCAAGGTCTCCCTCCCGCTCCCTGTCCTCACAGACCTGTCTCCATACGCGAAGCTGCCCCATCAGACCCGGCTGCTACACCATCCTTGCTCATTGGCACAACCAGGCGTTGCCTCGTGCAGTGGCTTCCCTTCATGCCAAGATGGAGAGTTCCCTCATGCATGAAGCCCTCCCTGACCACCACACCAAGCAGGGATCTGAGCGCTAGTCAGCCTCCCTATCTGCCGATGATCTCCGCATAGGAAGGATCTCACTGTGGGAATATATGCTTTTGTTTGCCTACAACTGTGTTATTTACAATTCTTACTATACCTTCATCTACCAACATTTTTATCAGCCTGAATGGTTGATACATTGTGTCAACTTGAGACTTCTCGAAGTTTAACTAAGCAATTCAGCAGGGAGCCAAGGTCTTGGCTTTGTAAACATCCTGAGCCTGTGCAAGAGGAGGGCAAGGAGGTGGTGTGAATGCTACACTCACCAGAGGGCAGGCAGCCTGCATACAATATAAGGGAGGAAAAGACACTTGCTCTTCCCCCCCATGTCTGCGCTTGTTGCTTTTGCTGTCTTTTGCCGCCTTGAACTGTCGCCCGTCTGCCATGCTGCCCTGCTTTGAGCCAGCTGATTAAGGACTGAAACCTCCACAAACTGTCAGCTAAATAAACCTTTCCTCCTTTAACTTTGAGTGTCGGGTATTTTGTCTCAGCAACAAGAGAAAAGTAACTAACACATCAACTCAACCAAAAACTTCCTCACACCAGAGACTATGACTGATGTGTAGTAGGCCATCAATAACCCCTAGAAACAGATCACCTGGAGCTGGCCTTCCTCTGCCCAGACCAGCAAGAAGCTTCCTACAAAAGGATTCTGAAAAGTGGTCCCCTCTGACCTCCAGAGCAGAAAGAGAAACTTCTGGTCCCAGACCCACCTGTGGACCACAGCCTTCAGCTCAGCCAAAGGGCTCTGGGCCCCTGCCTCAGGCAGAAGGATGCCAGCACCACTGGGGCAGAGGAGATAAGCCTTCAAGGATGCGCGCAGACCAAGTTGAAGACAAGGTGTCTCACAACAGGAAATGCCTACCCCAACCCATGGCAGGACCTGAGGGCCAGATGACTGTCTGTGGAGACGGGACAGACAGAATGACCATTGACAGTGTGGGTGTCAAGGAAGTACAGTGGGTAGCGATGGGATGGGGAGAAATCTCCTCCCAGAAATGACCCAGATGCACCTCCTCTTCCAGCTTGGAGACCAGACTTAGGCCAGAACCTCTCCACAGGAGCTGAGACTTGTGAAACAGTTTGAGGACAGAGGTGGCTTGAGTGCTAAAGGGAGACCAGGGTCCTGGCACACAGAAGAGGCAGGAGCACAGCAACCCAGCCCCACCCCAGCCCACCCCAGGGAGGCCCTCATCTCCCCACCTGGACGCTGGGGTGGCTCTGAGGTCTATAAGGATGTCACCTTCTGCCCCTCCTAGGTTGGCCCCAATCCTACGCCCCCAACCATTTTCCTCCTAGAGTTCCCACTCATGGGCCACGGGCCACTAGGCAGGGGACACATGAGCCCTCAGGAAACCCCCAGGACCCTCTGCCCTTCACTGAGCTCTCCTGACCCACTCACTCCCTTTGCCTCCTGTAATGGATCCTACTCAACCGGGAGCTGGCCCTGACCCTGGGAGTCCTCCGTGGTGGTGCTTGCCCACCAACCACACACAACCCCCACCCCTCCCCTTCTTGTCCAGGGCTCTGTCACACTCACCTGGAGACCTCTAGCTCTCATGGAGACAGCCGCATTGCCTCCTCTCTGAGCAGCTCTGGTCTCTCAGGGAAGGTGAAGACCTCTGGAAAGCTGCCCCAGGACTGTGTATGTGCCAAGTCTCCCCAGGAGCCGAGATGTGAACCCAGAGCTCCCAACTCCACAGCCCTCCCTGAACACAGGAGGACCCAGCCTCCCTCAAACGGATAGAAATGGAGGGATGGAGTCGTCTACATGGCTACCCCAGGTCCTGAAGAGCTCCTTTGCGTCCTCCCAAGGGAAAGTGCTCCAATGGGCCAGCTCTCAGCAGAGTGGACATACAGTGCCTGGCCCCACAGCAGGGTCTGAGTCAGGGACATCCATGCAGCGACCCAAGAATGTACACTTCCAAGAGGCTCCTGAATGACTCTGAAACTACTGGCCTGAAAGCCTCCTGGGGTTACATCTGGACCGCCTGCCGCTGACTGGTTACCTCCAGCAGGTCCCTCCATCCTGGCTGCCCTCGCAGGATGGCCTGCAGTGATCTTGTGGCAATCAAATGGAAAAGAGCAACGAGCGCCTTACAGCAGTACCAGGGAGGAGGAAGATCTCAGTCTGCCTTGGCTATTGCTATTATTCACTATCCCACCCTCAGGGCACCCGCACACAACCACTGGCCCACCCTGCCCCTCTGGCCCACTGCTCCCGCGCCTGGCATAGGGCAGACAAGGGAGCAGGGTCGATATTAGAAACCACAGGCCTCGCAGAGCAGCAGAACCATCCTCTTCCTGCCAGCGATCATCTGAGCACCATCCGCTTGGCCCCGCCCCCTCCCCTTGCCAGCTGGAAGCTGGCCACAGGGCAGCACTTGCCAGCGATCAGATGCCTTCAACTTACTGCTCTGTATGCTTTTTGAAGAGCTAAAAATTTCCAGAAGCCCCTCCCAGGCTGAACACCCATGTTTGCAAACCCAGCCTGGTGTCCATGCTACACCCCACCCCGCCCCAGTTCTCCTGGGACTCAAGCCTTGCTTCTCTCCTTCCTGACCACTGCCAACTCCAGGGCTACTGGAAGTGAGAAAAGCATGGGACTGGTTGGGAGGGGTCCCCCCAGGCTGCCCCAACCCAGGCCCTGCAGGGAGGCTGGGGCCTGAGGGAAGCTCTGGGCCACCCGGAGCTGTGGTTCCCCTGAGCAGGAGCCCCAGAGCTCTGAGGGCTGGCAGAGACCCCCTGGCCCTTGATGGTCACCCTACCTTTATCTGCAAGCCCCCACACTGACATACACAATGCCTCCGCCCCCTACACACTCTTTACCTCCTTTGATTTATTTTAATCCTTAGAACATGTGGCTTTCCAACATACTACATATTTTACTTAGTAATCTCATTTAGTGTCTGCCTGTTGCATTAAAATATAAACTCCCCCTTCCCCATCCTGGAGCCTAGAAATGTACCTGACACACTAGGGGCCTCAGTAAATACTCACGGGGTGATACACTACCCCCACTACCTTCCCTGACACCCAACCATGCCGAGCATTCATTGACAACACAATGGGTACCCTAGAGCCCCTCAATCTGAAGGTCTCTGACTCTGTCTTTGCTAGGTTTTGGCCAGAACTTCCCTTACACCCACCGCACACATACTTGCACTCGACATTCTCGCATGACACTCAGAACGCAGCCCTTAGACGGGGGCATCATCTCCTCCCTCCCCTCTCATGATGAGGCTTGGGACAGGGCTGGGTATGGCTCCCAAGCATCCAATGCCCACTGCCACGCTCTTCACACTGCCCAGCACCCTGGGTCCCCAGGCAGGGCTGGCAGGCATCTCAAGGCCGGCTGCAGAGGGTGAAGAAGATAGATCCCAAAGAAGCACAACTCCCTCCCTCGGTCCCTCCCTGTCCATTCCCAGGACTAAACCTGCAGTGTAAGGATCCCAGGCTTTGCCAGCCCCATCAGGGTCTTCCCAACAGCCCCCTAGCCCAGGCAGGCCCACCCTAAATTCATCTTGGGAGCAGGTGGCAGGGGTTAGACCTAGCACTACTTAAAAGCCAAGCCCTGCCAGGGGCACTGGCACACACCTAGCAAGACCTTGCCTTAATTTTTTTTTTTAAAGAAAGGTCTGGGGATGTAGCTCTATGGTAGAGCACTTGCCTGGCATGCTGGAGGTCCTGGGTTCTAGCCCCAGCACTCCAGTGCCCTTTTGGGACTGCTCTATATTAGGGCCTCAAACCCAGGAGTCTGGAGCAAGGTAGAACTAGGGTGAGAAGCTTAGCCACAACAGATCCTGACAGATCCTGTGAGTGCGCATCCCCAGCCCAAGAGTGAGCAGCCTAGGCTCCCTACTTGCCTCCCTACTTGCCTCCCATTACTCCTGGCCCTGGTCTGGAGACGCTAAAGCTGTAACTATTCATGAAGTGCTAAGGACACCTTGGACAGAGTATCAGGCGCTTCGCTTTGCTGATCACCAATCCTCATGACCACCAGGCAAGCACTGTCCCTTTTACAGTAGAGCAAACTAAGGGTCCAAGTCAATAACCTCCCAGGAGAGCTGGTGTCTGAGCCTTGCCCTTCCCCTCCCTCAACTCTCTCTGCTCCCTGAGACCATCTTCCTCAGTCCCTCTCACTCTGTATCAACTGCCCTCCTGCTGGGAACCCACTCTCTGAGTCCCCTTAGAGCCGTCCCTCATCTGAGGCCCTCCGTAGGAAGGCACTTCATGGCTACACTTCCACAGGAAGAACAGGAAATGGGCCGCAGGAGAGACTGAGATCAGACCACAGAGAGAACTTCCTGAATGTGAGGGGTTGTGAACCACAGGGTGGAGAAGGGAAACTGCACATCCTTTCTTCAATTTTTTTTTGCCACAAAAAAAAAGACACACATGCCCTCGCCACGCCCACTGTGTCGGCTTGGGAAGGGCCACCATGCTAGAGGGCTGGGGGTGTCTGGGATGACTGCCTGGGGACTCACGCGGTAGGACACCTTGGTGGCCTGCAGGGAGGGTGGGCTGGGAAAAAATGTATTTGTGGGCTGTTGTTTTGGAGGAAGGAAAAGACTGGGGGGGGGCAGCCTGAGCCCGGGTGGGGGGCAGGGGACACAGAATGCGGACTCAGCCTCCGAGGAACATTCCGTCCAAATTCCTCACCTCTTTCCACCCTGCCAGCTCTCCCTTCTCTTGTCCCCTGGGAGGCCTGGAATCCAGGCAGGTTTTGGGGCCAAAGTGACCCTGTGACATCACATGTCCTGCCATGGCAATGAACTGTGAGGTCACTTGGTGCTGCCCATCAGAGGGCAAGGAGCTGGGAGCCACTGGGTGGGGCGGGCAGGCAAGGGGCTGAACTGGCCCAGGACCCAGGTCCCGGAAAAAGTTATTCCAGCCTTGCCTGTTCCAAAAATAGAACCCTAAGCGGAGGAAGGGAGGGGGCCGAAAGCAGGTGGGAAGGGAGGAGACCGCATTTATGGGGCACACAGTGGGAGCGTGGCAGGTGGCGCAAGACGGCCAGTGGAGGTGCAGCGTCATTTAAAGGCTGTGAGGGCTGAGGAGCAACAGTAACAATGACAGAAGCAGCAGCAGAGAGGGGGACATTTCTCAGCGCTCTGGTCCTCCCACAGCAAATCATCACATCATGGTCACAAGGGTACAGAGGGACACTTTGGTCCTCTTCTGGCAAATGGGGACCC